GTCAATAAACTGTGTGACGTAACGTCACTAGCGCGTTGGACCGACCGAGAGCACCGATACCGCGGCACGCTCTACCGTACTCTCTCGCTCGCACACCTCCCCCCATAGACCACCGAAATTCTTCGGCACGCGTCAACACCGAAGGAGAGCACCGATACCGCGGCTCGCTCTATCGCTCTCGCTCGCACGCCGTAACGTCACCCGATTCCCGGAATCCCGCGGTTACGAGATGGCTCATTACGGTAAGGCATTCCCGCAAGGGAAATTGTAAGCCGCCGGCCAAAAGGTAGATTTAATAAATTATTTATGAACCTACATCTATTCTGAATTTATCTGTTACAAATATACAAATGTAAAGCAAGATATAAAAACGAATAAAACAAGAACATATAAAAACTAACATTAGTAAAATGTCCATTAACGATGCATTTAGAATAAATTGTCTTGTAGTTAAGTGAAAAAATATATACTTTTCCGTTTCATGTTTCATGACTGTCATATTTATCCCTTAACCTTAAACTGAAGCATCGGATATTTTTATTCTCGTGAAATCATATAGATACACATAATATGAATGGAATATATAACACTTCATTTGTGCTAATAATACTCAGAATTCATGCTTTATCGGTAACGTCGGGTATTGACACTAAAATGGTAACAGGCCTACGTAGCCCTATGAACGTGGGACAGAAAAAAGCATTGGATGATAGGTCTATTCTATACCTAGTCGGTGCTTAGACATTATATTAATTTGTGATTATCACTTTCGTAATTCGCGGTACCAAGCATGTGTAGAAATGCAGCCAATCAAATTTAGGCACCCTTTGATACCTCCCTCCCCTCTGAAGTAGGTTTCACTCCCCTCGCCTAAAATAGGGGTTTATGCTCCGTCCCTATATTCCTATGTCCATGCACACATCTTAGAATAGTTTGGGTGGGAATTGAACGCTGTGCATAAGCAGAGGACGCTACATGCCGTCGTCAAATTAGGTGCCGGTAATAGATATATATATAGACAATGGCTTAAGGGGGGAGACTCCGTGGCCCGTGCGCTGTGTCCGTGCACTCACACAATCAACGGGAACCGTGTATGTATATGCGATGTGCAAGAGAGATAATCGATTTCGTAAATTCCAACTTCTGTCTGAACAATTGCACAAATGAACTTTTCACGGGTATAGAACTCACGGGTAGACTTCCCTACAGGGTGGTCTGGTCCGTATAAACACCAATAAACACATTTTAATTGAAAGAATTAGAATTTTAGAAAGTGTGCGATTGTGACAGACGCCGATGAAAACACACAAGATGGCTGCACAAGTCACATTTTGTCAAATATCTCACGATTTAATGGTTTTTTCGTCAAACGCAGACCAGACCACCCTACACACCACTATCACACTATCGTAGAAATCCAATTTTTGTCACTGTATCACTTCTGGAACGCAGAAGTTGGAATTTACGATTCGACGCGTCCAGACACAGAAATAAACAGTGGTATAGTTCAAGGATTCTCCGATAGAGGCGTTTATGGTATTTGTCAGTCACTTTGGCCTGCGTTACCACGAGCATCGATAAAACAGAGGGAGTCGGTAAATGTAACCTCGCAACACGTGGTGGATCGTATCGATTGTTTTGTTACGCTGTTGCCATTCGACAATTCTGCCCGTCAGGAGAACGATGGAACAGCTACGGCCTACGGCTTATGGCGAGATTTCGATTCTCGCGGAACGTAGGAAATAACGACGCGAGGGAAAGAAATCCGAGAATTAAACAATACGTACTAATGTGTGCAAGGATGAACCTTCTTATTCGTACTTGCAATGATGCTTATTTTTTTAATTAATGAAATTACATACGAGATACTTGACATGATATTCTCGAGAAACAAATTGTAAAAATGGCACAATATATATTCCGGGTATTCCACATACGAAAAACATGGAATACTATACAAATCTCTTGTTGGAAATGATATTTATTTATTTTTTATTGACATAATTGACGCAGGTGTTATATACTTACACAAATATTTCATAAAAGAGACACAAAAGGAACACAATTAATCGCATACGCTCTGTCAATCTTTCATTCGTCGCCCAGCGGAGATAGATTTTGTACTAACAACTGATTGCTGTCGCATGCGTACTTAGCGTATCATCTTCGCTGCGTCTGCATCTGTTCCAGTACGTATTTTGTTTTAAAAATTGGACCAAACGACTTGAGTTTTTTTGAGAAGCTAGAAGGATTAACTTATTAGATGACATGTTTTCGTTGTTTCGAAAAAATTACAATTGTTGGAATAGCGAAGAAAATAGTAAAAATATTAAGAAGTCCTTTTTTCAATTTTTTTCTGATCCTATAGTGAAAATTTAACAAATACCTCTTATACACTTAATTAAGATACGTACACGCTGAAAATTCCAGGGTATAAGTTACAAACTATTAAAAGTGGTTAGACTTACAAGTTAGAGTTACAAATAAGTTACAAAACTAAAAAACTCGTACTTTCGACTTATAAACCTGAAGATTTTTTACTACTTCGGTGCTCGTAGCTTCTTTGCTTTGACCGACGAATTTTGTTATGACTGGGCCCGATAATGGTGGCCTGACCTAGGTCACTCTGAAAGTCACCATCGGGTGTCGATCGAAAACCAAGAGACAGGAATACTGTTTCGTTGAACGTCGACTAGAATGGTCATAAAACCAGCTTTCGATTTCACTATTGTTATTAAGCAGTATTATTGATATATATACATAGATAGTAATGATATACTTAGTCATGACAATAAGGAAACTGTAACATCGCAGCTTCACTTTTCTTTTTCTTAGATATATAAGTCTACAAGAGGCATATTTCGAATGTTCATTATAGGCTAAGATAAAAAAGTTGAAAAAAGTGTCTGTTACTATTTTTGTGCGTGTTTTGTCAAACATTTCCCTGTACATTGTGAAACAACTAATTACAATTAAATCATTAAAACTTAATTATCTAGACTAATCTTTAACTTCTCATAAACATTCAAATCATTTTATGGATAACTAGCTGACGTACCCGCTCTCGCGCGGGCAGTTTCATATTGCAAATCATATTTTAGTTCGTATATACAGACTAGACTGTAATATACCGTGAATAAATAAGCAGCATAGAATTTTGGATAGTGCAGTATGAATCACATCGATTTGCGGCTTTTTAAACTTTTTTGTCTGCCTCAACTCATCGTTAGCTAAAGAACATTGTCGCTGGACTGTTCCTTCGACTAACTTTGGCCAGCAGGAATAAATGGGCTGTTGAGCGCCGGGCGAGAGGCCAGCGACTGACGATCGAAATACAATGTAAACAGATAAGGAATGAAACGCATGAATGCAAATTTAATCTTTTATAGTTTTCAGTATACATTCATTAAAGTATCACGAATGAACTGAGGAGATTCTGTCGGTGGAAATGAGTCCAAATACGACATCATTCGGATTATTTTCAATAATATATCAGTTTCATCCGCAACATTACGTATGAGTAACAATTGTCCAATTACACTCGAATTTGGACGCATTTTAATCGGGAGAATTTCTTCAATTCATTCATGACATTTTCATTAAAATATATTGCAAATTGTAAAAGTTTAAATTTTCATTCGTGCGTCATTTCTTATCTCATCTACGTCTGTTTACATTGTATGCCGATGGGTCGGTCGCTGGCCTTGGACGTTCGGCGAGAATCGAAATCTCGCCACGAGCCGTAGGCCGTAGCTATTCCATCGTTCTCCTCACGGGTAGAATTGCATGCGGGACGTGAGGCAACAGCGTAAGAAAAACGATACTGTCCGGCAACACTGTCTTCGCGTAGGAAATACACAAACCCAGCTTGATGGTAACGGGGAACAAAATTTATTTGTGGGTATTGCCGCTAGATGTCGCATTATCAAGCCGTCCGAAATATCGATTTTGTGTTTTCGCTGGCGTCCGGTTGTTTACATCGGCGCTTCGATCGATTAGGAGTTGGCCCCAAAGGAGTCTCCCCCCTTAAGAAGGCAGTATAGATGGCGCCTTAAATACGTCTGTTCCCTCGTCTTAATGGCGCTTACAGATGCCTAGAATATGTCTTCAAGACGCCCAGAATGCGTCTTAAAGGCGTCTTTGTTACCAATCTGGACATTCAGTCGTTCAGTCCTAAAATGGATAAAATGGGCGTCTTTAAGGCGTCATGTGCTATCTGGAAGAGATATTCTTAAAAAATGAAAATCAGAATACACTTGTGTTATTACAGAAAATTTTGAAAATAGAATCATAGGAAAAAGGTCTTATCTATTTACGAATGTGTGTTGTTACATATTATTTTACACAAACTTTGTAAATACATCTGAAAAGTTAGATAAATAGATACAATATGGTAAGCATTAATTATGTATTCTGTATCTTATATATTCGCAGAAAGATCAATAATTGTAATTACAATTTTACGATGCAATCCTAGTGTTGTACGCGATTTCCTGTACGTATGCATCAATAGAAGATGGTACGGAGTGGTGGACCAACTTATTATAAAAAGCACATGAAAACTTTAAAATTTACATAACTCACCCTGATACATAATCCGTTGTGTAGAAGTTTCGAACAAATTGCCAGCAATAAATGACAAAAGTTGTTTAACAAACCATAGCTACCTGTTTCCGCATTTGACTTGGGTTTTGCAGGCAACGGCAGCTGAGAAAATAGTAAAGCAAATTGGCAAAAAGACTTGCAACACGACCTATGTCAAATTGAGGGCAAAACCAGAACAAGGTTTGCGTAAGTCAATTTGCTGCATATGTTGTTGGCAATTTGCTGCCTATGTTGCTGCCAATGCGCGCGCAAGTTGTTTATAGCAAATTTTGCATCAAAGTTGTAGCCATAACTTTATAACAGGCATTGGACAAAATTTAGCTTGGCAGTTTGGCTGACTGGGTACATAGAAACAAAATTGCAGACTTAAGATTACCAGAGTTTCGCAACTGGTCTTCGTGAGAACTATATGAGCATCAGAACGCAATGTTTTCGTTTAGTAGTGGCTCAGGTTGAGACGGGGAGTAGTTGTTATCAAATATTGATTATTTTGCTAAATTATAGGAAGTAAGTGATTATCTTGAGCATAGTACTTACTGATTAGGTACTTGATTGATTAAATTGCATCAGAATGAGAAGCATAATCCATATGTATAGTGGAGAAAAGTATAATGCAATGTAACCATAAAAAGAAATGTCAGTTGAAAGATATCCGTGTAACATTGACACGGCAAGGTTAATGCGTGTATTACATATATTTATATTTCGTAATATTCCATTATATATGTAATTTATGTATAGAAACATAACCTATTGTAATTCTGCAACTGAGTGTTTAATGAAAAATATTTACCATGAAAATAATTTATATATGTTTATAAAGTTATAATTTTATGAAACTTAAAAATTGTAATAATTTCGAGATTGCGATTTGTATTATTTATAGAAACAGTTGAGATAATTTAAAATAAATTGATTTAAAGCACAGTAATTTAGAAAATGATATTTAAATATCTTGTGGGATTGATATTGTGTATGATGTACATGAGCATTATTTATTAAAAGAAACGAGTAACATCAATATATTTGAAATTATTTCAATTTTTTGAATGAATATAAACAAATAATATTTATAATTTGAAGTTTTTTATACTATTCTTAATGGTAACACAAATTGTAATATTATTTAAACAACATATTTGGATAACAAAAATTCATTTACATGTTGATAATTGAGATATTTTAACTTAAAAACTATTGTTTGTAGCATGCTTTGTGCAAGGTTTATAAGGCAATTTAAGTTGCCAATAATTAGACGATTAAATTCTAATTCTATGAAGGACAATAAACCTGTAAATAACAACAAAACATCAGAACCTATTCCTGAACAACTTGAGGAATCTGTTATAGGTAAAATATAATTTATGTAATACTTGTAGAGTCAATGAAGTGTACAAAAAAATATCTCTTATTCTGTATATTCAAGGAACACAGATGCACTATGTGACTAATTTTGATAGACGAGTACTAGTATGGATGAAACGTTATCCCAGTATGGATCAAGTTCCACGGAGAGTAGCGTAAGTATATTGGCATTTGCAACTTAGTATTATAACTCTTTTATAGATTATAGTTACTAATCTTTTATTTGACATTATAACTAAAAGAAATTGTACTTTCTATACGTACTTATGCTTATGGATTATACATTTATATTTTTATTTTGTAAGTTATTGTTCCATAGATGGAGTACTATGCAACAGGCAAATACACGGGCAAGAATTCGTATATGCAATTATATGATAGTGGTAGTAATAATTGGTTTCATAATATCTTGTATGAGTGGAAAAAAGGAAGCAGCAGGTGGAAGACATATAATATCGGACAGAATGAATTGGTATAACGAAGTAAGAGAAAAGGGAAGAATTGAAAGGGAAGCTAAGGCTGCAGCTGAAGCTGCTGAAGCTGCTGCAAAAACATGAAGCAGTATGAATACATATATGTCTTTCAATAAGTATGACCCATTTGTTATGGATGTAGAATAATATAATTTCATAACAGTGATAAAAATACTGTCTTGAAAGCTTTATAATTCAATTTAGTCTAACATTATAGTATTTTTGAAACAGCAATAGTACTTTTGGTTATGTATTTTTGTAAAATTTGTTTAACATTAGTATACATACAATACAAATTGTATAGCAATGTAAAATTTTAGGAAACACTCTACAATGTGTAATTATTTAATAAATTGTATATGTACATGAAACATTTGTGTCATTATTCTGACTTACACATATATAGGTTCTTGGTAGGTTGACAACAATCTTAATAGTTTTTAGAAAAGTGGTTAAAAATTAGTTCAATGGTACTTTTAAGAAATAAAAAATGCACATGAATATTATGTTAGAAATGTTTTAATTAACTATATTTATAATTAATGTTTCTAATTACATTTTATTGTGATTTCTGTCAGGTTATAATAATCGACACAGCTTGAAATGCAGTTAGGATTATAACCATGTAAATATGGTATAACTATGTAAATAATTGCGCACTCTGAATAATATTTATGGAATCCATAGTAATAGAATATTATGGATCTATAATTGATGGTTTATAAAAACTCCGGCACCTTTCATAGTATACTTGGTTTGTACGATTCTTTACAACATCTTCTACACTTAATTCTGATTGCAATAGTCTCATAGTATTTTGTTCTTTTCGTAACGTTTTAAGAAGCTGAGGACTATTATCACCATTATCTCGTTGGTTTCTTAATTGCTTTACTTTTTCTTTTGAGGCACTTAAACATCTTGAAATAGCCTGTTCTCTTTTTCTATGACCTGTCTGAATTTGTTCAAATAAATCCTTACATTTGGCAGAAGGGTCCATTTGACTTTTAAAAGATTCTGTTGGAATTGTTGTATTCAACATATATATAATTTTGTCATCAAGTTGTCGCATTTTCTGCAATGCATCCTGAAACAAGAAGGTATTATACTTAAATAATTCAAATGGTTCTTAGGAAATATTTTAACAAAAAAAAGAATAATTGATTACTTGAATAGTTTAAATAATTTCTAACCCTATCATTTATAAAGCAAGAACAGAAACATATCTCAGTGTCCAAGACATATCAGTAAATGCATAAGTTATTATATATAGTAACCTAACCTCAACAGAAGTGTATAAATTCGTTTTTAGAATATAGGTACTAAATGAAAATATTAAATTGAACACTTTTTTAAATCAATTTACAAATGGTTTTATTATCAAAACAATTTTCAAAGTGTGAAATATACAAATTATCATATAACCTTAATTACAGTGAAAGTATATTACCATAATACTATACAAATTTAGAGTATGACATAAAAAGTATTCATTTCAGTAATATAATTACACCTGATAAAAGTCAGATTTAATACACTTCACTTTCATTTATAATAAAAATACCTGAAACTCTAAAAAGTCGCCGCATGCAACACTCATAGCTGCCATACTTGTTAGTTAAGTATGTTGTTGCATATTCGCAACTGGTAATATTTAGAATCAAGCGCCATCTGTTCAGAATTTTAGGAATAAGTACATGTAACTACACTGTCATCTGTAGGCGCAGATTCAAATTAGGCGCGGCAAATATGAATTGTACAACAGCGTAACTGAGGCAATGAATCAGAGTATTAAATAACTAATTATTGATTAAATGTCAAAATGATAACATTGATGACTAGACATTACTCGTATTTGATATTTACTTTTGGTTGTCATGAGAAAACATTGCCAAGGTATTAAATACGCTCGTTCCCCGTAATGATTAGACCCAATAAGATTAAAGTAAAACTATACTGGGCGCCAAAATTAAAGCATCACTAAAATTTGCCGAAAATATTGGTCATTTTCAGATGCCTATATCTTCGCGAAAAATAGCTATAAAAAATATTGTGACAGAGCGTTTTGTAGCCCGAAGTTTCTAGTTTTTGAATCGGGAATTTAAAAATTATTTTTATGTAATTTGTTCCTTTTTTTTAAAAGATGAAGCGCAGTAAGCGAATGTTAAAAAATGTTGGTCAAGTTTGAGAGGATGCATGGGCCAAATGAAATTTTTTCTGGTAATTCCAATGGAAAACTTTTAAAAAGCAAACATTTCTCTTTAATTTCGTTTTTTTAATTTTGTTGTACAGTTTTTATTGGCCGAGTTATTCGTCATCATATGAGAAAAGGTACTTTCCACTTTGACCGCCTGTAACTTGCGAACGCATGATCGTATAGAAAATTCCAGAAGTGATTTGGAAAGCTGAGAGATTTCTCTTTAAAGACCTTTAGTTGCCAATTTGTTGAAATTTTTTTTCGTCGTCTACAGTCCATTTCAAAATAACGTAAAATATTGCATAATTACCATTTTTCACAAAACACGATGCCATTTTAACAAAAATTGTGGAATCTTCCAGGTGTCTACGTTTTTTTAAAGTTAAAAGTACACGTAACCCCTGTACCAAAGGCCGCATTGATCAGATTTTGTTTACCCTGTGCCCTCGATAGTGAAACTTGCGATACAGTCTGGAAAATTGGTGAATGACTCTTTTGCGGCACGTTTCCTCTTTAAAACGATTTCGCAGCGTTTGAA